GCCCCCCCCGCGCGGCCCCGGTGCCCCCCCGGTGCCCGCCGAGCCCCCCGGTGCCCCCGCCCCGCTCACCGCTGTACCCGCCCCCCTTCCCCTCCTCCGCCATCGCCGCCGCCGCGGCCTCCCCGCCGCGCGTCCCGCTGACGTCACTTCCGCCCGCGGGGTCACGCGCGCACGCGCAGTCGCCACTCCCCCCCCTTCCCACCCCGCCCCCCCCCCCGGGAAAGGCCCCGAGGCCGCGGGTTCGAGTCCCGGCCCGGGAGGAAAAAAACCACAACGCGGGGTTCGGGGGGGGACCCAGGGGTTTATTGGGGGGCCCGAGGGGTTCGGGGGGGGCTGCGGCCGCCCCAAAGGCTCCCTGAAGGGTTCAGGGCATCCCCAGACCCGCCCCCCTGGCGGCCCCAAGGCTTTAACGGGGGGCTCCTGTTCCCAAGGGGCTCCTGCAGCCCCCCCCCCGTTAATTTAATGGGGTCCCCAGGGCCCTTCTGGGGGTCCCCAGGCCCATTTTGGGGGTCCGCAGCCCCCCCAGGGGAACCCAAATCGCTTTAATGGGGTCCACAGCCCCCCTTTTTGGGGCTGCCAAGGCTTTAATTGGGGGCTGGAGGCCCCAGGGGGGTCCCACAGCCCCCCCACCGTTTTAACCAGCTCCACCCCTCCCCCCCTTTTTGGGGGTCCCGGGGTTTTCGGGGGGGTCCTGCACCCCCCCAAAGGCTCGTGGGGTTCACAGACCCCCCCACCCCGGGGGTCTCACACCTTTACCTGGGCTCCTGCAGCCCCCCCAAACCCCAGAGGATCCCCCCCGAATTCCCCGGGGTCACCAATGGGGTCCCGACCCCTTTCCGGGGGTCCCGGGCTCTCCTGAAGGGTCCCCAGCCCCATTTCGGGGGTCCCGGGCTGTCCTGAGGGATCCCCAGCCCCATTTCGGGGGTCCCAGGCTCTCCTGAGGGATCCCCAACCCCTTTCCGGGGGTCCCAGGCTCTCCTGAGGGATCCCCAACCCCTTTCCGGGGGTCCCAGGCTCTCCTGACGGATCCCCAACCCCATTTTGGGGGGTCCCAGGCTCTCCTGAAGGGTCCCCAGCCCCATTTTGGGGGTCCCAGGCTCTCCTGAGGGATCCCCAGCCCCATTTGGGGGGTCCCAGGCTCTCCTGAGGGATCCCCAGCCCCATTTCGGGGGTCCCGGGCTGTCCTGAGGGATCCCCAGCCCCATTTTGGGGGTCCCAGGCTCTCCTGAGGGATCCCCAACCCCATTCCGGGGGTCCCGTGGTCCATGGGGAGGGGTCCCAGAGCATTGCCAGGATTCCCAACGCTCCCGGAGACCCCGGGGCAGAGAGACCCCCAAACCGGGGTGGGGGTGGGATAAGTGGGGAGGGGGTCGCGTGTCCGAGCCCCGCGGGGCCGAGTCCGTGTGGAAAAAACGGGGAGAAAAGGAGGAGTTTCAGGCCAGGAAGACGACGAAGACGATGAAGAAGACGATGAGGATGAGGAAGATCTTCACCATCAGCCAGCGGTTGGACGTCACCGACTGGAAATACTTGAGGATCTCCCCGTGAGCCGCCTCCACGTTGAGCTGAGCGTCCTCCACGCTGGAGTCGATCCTGCGGGGAAAAGAGGGGGAAAGTTGGGGGGAT